ACCAACATACAGACCAATACGATGGTAATCCTTAAAGAAGACAATGTCCCAGTTCTGCAATGGCCTTTGGGACGCATCATCAAAGTTTACAAAGGCGAAGATGGGTTAGTGAGAGTTTGTGACATTCAAACAAAAAAGGGAGTATTTAAAAGACCGGTGCATAGATTAGCTCCATTATTTCCTGAAGACGATAAATTAGAAGATCCAACCTTTGGAAAAATGACTGAAAGAAAAATCGAATCAGAACAGACTCAAGAAACTCCAAGGTCACCTCCCGTGTCGCTTATCGTAAAAATTCCATTAAATCGCATCAGAAAACCTGAATCATTAGTCAATGGGTTAACTCCAACAAAACGATCATGTCTGAACCCCGGGTTGCTGCTCACCATTATTACTCTACTCATTTTGCCACTTGCACTATGTAGTCCCATCAATATAACAAACTTCAACAACAAACCTGGCATTTATTTTGAGCAGCTTAAACCAGTCAAAATCATGTCTGCTGATTGGAAAATGATTGTATATTTTGACCTTTCCCCATACCAACAACAAATGAGCATTTTAGCTGATGGAACAAAAAGGTTGAACAATTTATGCGACAAGGCATTGGATAACACTGCTTGCAAGGTATTACTCAACTATTTTGACCGTATAACGGAGGAACTGCAAATGGAACTTAATCTTCTTTCTGTTAAAAAAAGAATAACAAGAGGAGCTATAGACATTGTCGGAAATTTTGCAAATTCATTGTTTGGTGTCCTCGACTCAAACTACGCGGCACAAATGTCAAGCACAATAAATGGTCTTAAAAGGAACGACAATCACCTGGAACAACTCGTTAAAAACCAAACGTCACTTGTTGATTCAACTATCAATATCTTTAAGAAGAACCAATTAAACATGCATGACAAATTTGAAGAAATTGAAAAGCGCATCAATAACTTGTTGTATACAGATGAGTCAATAAACGACATACATGTAACACAAAACATGCTTATGTTGTCAATGCAAATGCTCATGATGGTATCCAACCTGCAAAGAGTTCACTCATCAATTATGGACGTACTAATCGACAGTCATCACGATAAAATAAATCCTCTTCTGCTGACTCCACAACAGCTTAGTGAGCAAATAATGATGATTAGGGCACATCTTCCATCACACCTACAGTTACCTATCCACCACAATAACTTACTCGAAGTATATAGGCTCATGAAGATCAACGGAATCCTGGCAAAGGGCCATGTCATTTATTGCATCGACTTACCTCTCACGGATCCAAGAGAATTTCAACTGTTATATCTTGTTCCAATTGTGGCAGCTATAAATAACACACTTTTATCAGTGAAACTTTCAGAATTTCAGAATTTCTAGCCATCAGTCCGCATCATGATGAATTTCGACCAATGACACAGCATCAAGTGGACGCATGCATATCGATAAGTGACGAAGAGTTATTATGTCCAAACATACAAGCAACATTTCATGACTCGTCAAACGTCAATAATTGTGAAATTGACTTATTTAACAATCAAGCTAAACCAAGATGCGATATGTATCAGCTCAAGGACACAACTGTATGGTATCAACTAAATCATCCGAATCAATGGATTTACGCAACCATAAATAACATCAAAATGAATGCAGTATGCAACAAGAAAGCATTTCAATTAACTTTAGTGGGCAGTAGTTTGATTAAATTAGAACCTGAATGCATCATCAAAAATGAACACATTACGATTCAAGGTCATCAAAAAATGGTTACTTCAATGCAGGCATCGATCACCAGATTGAACCTATCTGTAGGATGGACAAAACAATATGCGAGCAATAACATCAGCGTCAAACCATTGTCACCCACAATCCATGAGCTTGAACTTATTCAACGAAAATTAGGCCACATCCAGAGTTCCAGTTTTCCAACTGATGCTATTAGTCCAGGGACACATAGTCTAATAACCAGCTACGTTGCATTAGCAATGTTTCTATGTGTCGCTAGTGCACTATTATATATATGGCGAAGGCAAAAAATCACCTATCAAACACCTCCAATACCGATGCCACGACATCAGCAGATGACCGAGGATACAGCATGTTGACTTGCAGCTTCCAATAATTAGAATTGATGTTGTCAATTCAAGGCGGGCAGCATGTTCACACATTATTATTATTGTAAAATATTATTATTATTACTATTGTTATTATTGTACAATATTTGTAAAATTTGAACATATATGCTGATGTTAGCAATATCCAAATTTTGACTTTCCTTTGCATTATTTAATTTGGTAAAATGCAGTGGCACTGAACTTGAATATTTGCATTATATTTTTTGTTAAGTGCAGTGGCACTGAACTTTGAATATGTAACATATATCAAGGCCAGTGCATTGGCATTAATTCTTGGTTGCTAGACACAACAAAGAATTTTGTGCATAATATATGCTGAGCTTGCACTTTAGGCAAGAAGACGGTAAAGGAAAAGAATAAAATTTAGATATTGTTATTGTAATAATTTGTAATAATTTAGTATTTAAGGAAAAATTTAATTTAATAAAATTCAGATTGAAACCAATATTCGATCTCTCATTTTCATTTTCCAGAGTTTCAGTTCAAGTGCTGAAAACTCAACCTTCAATTAAAGAGTTACAGTTTAAGTGCTGTGAACTCAATATCTTTGATGTTAATACATTAACACAAACGATACAGTGATTCTAAACGAAACAAACAATGTTTTAATTGTGGCAAAATCGGACATTTTGCACGTGAATGTAAAAATAAAGCAAAAGCTGAAAATAACACGCAATTGAAAAATTCGAAAAAATCTGTAAACAATAATTTTAGCTATCATGTTGAAGATGCATTTATTAGCTCAATAAAAGAAAATTATTGGTGCCTAGATAGTGGATGTACTGCCCATTTAAGTGCAAACCGTGAATATTTTACAGACTTTCAAAAATCGAATAAAGTGCTTAACTTAGCAAACGACAACACAACAAATATAAACGGCGTCGGTAAAATGAAAATAACTGTAGACGTATACGGTCGTGATAATAACATTGATCTTAAAGAAGTTCTATATGTCGAGGACTTGCGTACAAGTCTACTTTCTGTATCAAAAATAGTAGACAGCGGATATGAAGTGCATTTTCGCCCTTCAGATGCAATCGTATTGGACAAATATCAGAAGGTTATAACTCGAGCGAAAAGATGTGGAAATCTTTTTATTGTTGAAAATAAAAATCATTTTGCACAAGTTGCTGAAGAAAAATGTGACATTGAAAAGTGGCACCAGAAAATGGGCCACATAAATGAAAACGATCTTAAAAAAATTGGCTAGTAATAACCTAGTACACGGATTAAAATTAAATCCTAAACAAAAACTTCCGACTTGCGAAATTTGTATTAGTGAAAAACAAACACAAAAGTCATTTCCGTAAAGAAACTAGAACAAGTGATTTATTAGAGATCGTGCATAGTGATGTGTGCGGACCAATGAGAACAGCATCAAATTCGGATGCAAAATATTTCGTAACATTTATTGATGACAAATCACGCTATTGTCATGTATATTTTATAAAACAAAAATCCGATGTATTAAATGTATTTAAGCAATACAAAAGAGCAGTAGAAACATTTACGGGTAAACGAATTAAGGCTTTACAATCAGACAATGGTAAAGAATACGTTAATTCTGAATTTAATTTATTCTTGAGGAAATTTGGTATACAAAGACGCTTAACTGCTCCATATACGCCGGAGCAAAATGGTATTGCTGAACGTAAAAACAGAACTCTAGTTGAAATGGCCCGTTGCATGATGAAACAAGCTGAAGTTCCGCCAAATTTTTGGGCAGAGGCCATAAATACAGCGTGCTATATTCGGAAAAGGTGTCCTACAAAAGCATTGAACGGTGTAGTACCGCACAAGTTGTGGACTGGTAAAATGCCAACTATTGTACATTTTCAAGTATTTGGCTCTAAAGCATATGTCCTAAAAAAGGATAAGACTAGAGATAAATTCGATTCTAAGTCAGAACCTTACATGTTTGTTGGATATTCAAACGAAGCGAAAGCCTATCGGCTGTGGTCACCTACAAAACGAAATATAACAATAAGCCGTGATGTCGTGTTCGTAAACAAAAATATCTATCATAATAAATACGAAAACATTTATATTAACAATGAAAACGACTGCCAAAAAAATGATTATATCGATATTGCGTTCGAAAATTGTGAAAATCAGAAACTGTCGGTCAATCCGAAAATTGTAGAAAATACAGATACGCGAGAAGAAAACTCCATTCGTAGAAGAGGTCGTCCGAGACTTATTCGCACAAATTCACGCGGTAGGCCTCGAAAAGAATATTACACGTCAAATCGGAATGGTGAAGAATCATCCAACGAAGACGAAAATACAAGTTCAGTAAGAAAAATTGCTGATAAAAACCATTCAGATGATGAACCTGACAACAACGTTTTTGAAGATTGTGAAATGGCGTTTCTCACTACATATCAAACTCCAGTAACGATTTTGGAGGCACTTGAAAGCGATGAAACAAATTCCTGGTCAAAAGCGCTAGAAGACGAAATGGTGGCACAACTAAAGAATAAAACATGGGAAGTGGTCGAAAGACCGAAATCACGAAAAGTTATTGGGAATAGATTCGTGCTTCGAACTAAAGATGACGAAAAACAGAAAGTACGATTAGTAGCGAAGGGTTTTGCACAACGACCAGGTGAAGACTTTCATGATACGTTTTCTCCAGTCGCTCGTTCAACATCTATAAGACTACTTGCGGCACTGGCAGCAAAAATGGATTTGGAGATCCATCAGATGGATGTCATTACAGCATACCTAAATGGAGAGCTCGAAGAGAGTGTCTTCATGGAAATTCCCGATTATCTTATACCATTCCTGAACAAAGTCGTTTCATCAAAACCAGTAGGAAAAACTTCAACAATATTGTGTGGAAAAGTTAAAGAAACAGCGCAGCATTGGTTAAAGGCGATTAAATCAAGTAAGTCACCTGTATGTTTATTAAAGAAAGCTCTTTATGGACTTCGTCAGTCTGGGCTATCATGGTACATGAAATTAACAAAGAAACTACAGAATATGGGTCTAAGTGCAGTACAACAGGATCCTTGTGTATTCACTAAGCGTGAAGGTAACGACATTGTTTTGATGACAATATATGTAGATGATTTACTAATAGCGTCCAATAATAAGTTTCGTATAAAAGAAATAAAGGCTGCACTTGCGAATGATTTCGAAATGAAGGATTTGGGAATAGTAAGTAATTGTCTTGGCATCGAGTTTCATCAAAATTTAAGCAAGCATCAAGTTTTTCTTTCACAAGAGAAGTATGCAAAAAGCATCATTGAAAAGTTCAATATGAAAGACTGTAAACCAGTGAAGACTCCCATAGAATTGAACATTAAGTTAACGAAACCAACAAAAATTGATGAAGGTGTTATGAAGATGTATCCCTATCAAAGCTTGATAGGAGCATTAATGTACTTAGCTGTTACAACTCGACCTGATATTGCGTTTGCTGTAAACTTTCTTAGCCAGTTCAATTCAAATTATAACGTGGAACATTGGAAAGCAGCAAAACGAATTCTAAGATACCTTAAAGGTACAAGCAACTATGGTCTATTGTATGAGAAAAACAATGAAGAATTGTATGGTCTGGTTGACGCTGATTGGGGCGCTGACTTAAACGATAGACGTTCATATTCAGGGTATGCGTTCATTATATCAGGAGCAGCGATATGTTGGGAAGCTCGAAAGCAACGTACAGTAGCGCTTTCAAGCACTGAATCAGAATATATGGCCATATCTGAGGCCACAAAAGAAGCGTTATATCTAAAGGCAATCCTTGATGATGTTGGCATTACAAGTAAAACAATTGAAATCTTTAATGATAATCAAAGCGCTCAAAAATTAACGGAAAGCTTCAGGTATCATCCACGGACAAAGCACATTGATATTCGTTATCACTTTATTCGCAGCAAGGTTAACGACGGCACTGTTAAAATCAAATATATGCCAACAGAAGAAATGCCCGCAGACGTCCTTACCAAAGGACTCACTACAGAAAAGCATGTTAATTGCTTACGGAAATTAGGAATGAAATATTAAAGTCATATTTTATACATAATAAAAGCACTTTAAGAGGGGGTGTTGTTATGTAAAGTACTTTTTAAATATTAATTGCCTGGCAACTCTGGCCTGTCATTATTCTATATTCCTTTTGTAATTATTATTCATTATTCATTTTTAGTATAGTTAATAAAGCGAAGTAAAGAACATGTTAAAAATACATCGGACCGTGTTTCACTTTTGCTAAAAATATATAATAGAAAGCCGTTCTTCATCTAAATAAATAATTTGTTGGTATTTGGATATTATGGGAAATAACGCGTTTCAGTATCTAGATCATTGCTTAATTGCAATTTATCTAAAATGATTTGTAGTCTATTGTTATTATAATTTATTTTTCTGCAAGAAGTTGTCCCAATGGTTATGTGGCAATTGCCTTTGCTGGCACTATTGTATTGGCCATTGTAATATCTTAGATATTTCTTTATTATGCAAACTGATTTACAATATAACTTTATACATTAATGCGCGTTCACTACTTATACATGTAAGCCAACTGCCTGATGAACGACTAAGCAAAAAGCAGTGCACAATAAACAGTGTTGCCTTGTGCACTTTTCGGTAATGTATTTAATATGTACTCTACAATACCACCCTAGCCGTTCATTGTAGGCATTTCACTTTTATTGAATCTTAAGACTAATTAATTTTCTTTTATTTAATTATGATTAATTTACTTTTACAAGTTCACAATTTTGCTTACATGAACTATGGTTGTAATTACTTATTTCTAGGTCTTAAATTAAATCTTTGAGTTGTTTGCATTTTATTATAAGTTGCAGTTGTTACAATATTGTCTTGACAAATACTATCAGTTTCATTATATACATTTTCAAATGATTTAAAAGATATCGGCTGCAACTTTGTTAACTCGTTAAAATAATTATTTTTATCTGCTACATTTTTGTTAACATTTGCATTACATTTGATCATGT